TCCAACCAATCCAACCATACTTTACCCGTTCCTCGTCCATATTGCCAAGGTCCTAGAGCTTTTGTAAAACCAAGTTGTCGACATGCAACCTTGGTATCGTCCATATCCCAGCCACCATAACATACTGTTCCATTTAATTTAAGTAATGATGTACCGTCGACATGTAACTAATAGTAATAGTACTCAAACTTTGTAACGTAAAGCTCTCGCAAGCACCCGCTTCCACTTTTGGGAATTACAAGCGTGTTTTCCCTTTGTTATGAAGCTCTTATTACGAGCGACCTTCTAATGGATATGACTTGCATTAGTCAACACTTTATTAAAACTGCTGTATAGCTTATCGTTTGTGTTTTTTTCCTCTTCAGTCTTTACATGCGCTGAACTTTTGTATTACAGTGGGTGCCAAACGAATCAAGGGCTGTTCATTAAGGCGAGTTAATTGGGCGAATAATAGGATAAATAAATAAATAATACGAATATATAGTGAATTCCAAAGAGTAGATCTTCTTTCACTGGATTCCAATTGGAACTTAGAAGTTGATTTTTACGGAGGGAGGAAAACAGGCGAACCCAATAATCAGCGAAAATAACATSATATTGGTGCGTATCGCAAACAAAAGTAAGAACTCCCACCTAAGAGTGCAGCTCTGAAGTAAAGACTTCGAGCCTGTAGATTTTACATAATCGAGCAATACTTTCTCGCCCCTTTTCTATCGGAATGAACAACCATACAGCAATACCAAAAATTGAGGTGCAAAAGATACTAAAGCAAAATAAAAGCAAACGACACCAGCATTAGTAGTGTGATCGCAGGCAGAGGAAACCTGTCCCCATCCGTTGTCAGTACAGCTTCCAAGTGCGGACTCTGAGCTTGAACATCCCATGCCGCTCAGCCATACTTTACCGGTACMTTGTCCATACCACAAATAATTTACAGTTTTAGTAGATAATTAAATTAAAATCATCATCCATTAAAACTGTTTCAAACCTTTAGAAAAGTGACTGATATAGATATCAAGGATTAGAGAGTGGTATKTTTGAGGATAATATAATAAACATTAAAAAATATGAAAAAGCACACGACACCAGCATCATTAGTATGATCGCAGCCAGACCAAACCTGTCCCCATCCATTGTGAGTACAGCTTTCAAATGAAGACTCGGAGCCTGAACAGCCCATGTTGTACAGCCATATTCTACCCGTCCCATATCCATAGATCCAATATCCTAGAGTTTTGGTAAATCCCAGTTGACGGCATGCAACCTTGGCATCTGGCATATCCCAGCTATCATGGCATACTGTTCAMAACTGAACGTACTAATACTTTTAAATTAATCAAGCTATTTCCTCGTTTCAACATCTCATTTTGCAAGATTCAAGTCAGATTACACATTGCGACAAAATATCCTACCATTTATAGTAAGTCTTTAAAAATGCGCTTTTATGCTCATTATTTGCATAAAAAAGCTTTGGATTTCTTATTCACCACTACATACATTTTGTTAGCCCTGGGTCCATAATGTTAGTTGTTATTGATAGTCCAGTTTTAAAATATGTTTTAAGGCTATTGGAAAAAAAAAACAATTCGACATCATACTGAATAGA